CTGTGAAGCAAAATTTCGAGTTTTGGTGGCACAAAATGCAGTGCAAAAATTTGGCCAAATCAGGGCGAAAATTGATTCACAAAAGCGGTCGCTGCTTCTAAACTAACAAAGACAGCACAAAAATTTTTTAAGCTCTGAAAACAGAAAGCCAAGCTCTTTTCAATAATCTAAATTTTAGTGCCCCTGGAGAAGTTTGAAAATTTCACTGAAGTGCCTATGATAATCAATGATGAGAAGGATCTCTTCTAACAGTGGACATGAGATAACACAAATGCCGTAAAAATTTTACTAAAACTAAAACTGAGACCCGACAAGAGTCAGAATCTTAATTTCTTATTTCTTCTCCAAAATTTTCTCTTTCAACTTCTTTTCAGCTCTCTAATCATGCCCTGTCATCTGCTTTTATCTCCACTTTCTGCTCCACCCCCCCCTCCCCCTTTACCCCCTTCTCAGGGCTACTGATTTTTTCTACTGCTACTCCTTGCTCTTTCCTACTGCTGTCTTTCAGCCACATCCCTGATCTCATGGTAGGTAAGATCTAACACCCAGCCTTCTCGGATAAGGGCGACAAAATTACAGAGGTCCCAAGTGCAAGTTAAAGATCCCTTGGTGGTCCTAAAATGGAGAGCAGGATCCGGCCGCCACCGGGGCGAAATTCAAAATTGATTCCTACCAAACTGCGGGAGTTAATGTGTCCCGTGCGCTCATATGACCTTGTAACGCTGTGAGCGCCGTAAAACACTTACCAAAACTTAAACAAACACCCCTGACTGAGACAAAGATATTGCTGTTGGCAGGCCGGTTAATCGAACTCACGTGTTCCATGTGCAGTGGCGAAGTTTGTAACTGCTACATCAGACAGAGACAAAGGTGTGCGCCAGACTCGGTGTGTAAATTGGGGTAAGACAACGATTAATTTGAATTTGAACCTTCATTTAATTTTACATTGAAATGTCCCCACACGTTCCATGGACGGTGTCTCAAAAATTACATGTATTTGCTGATTGATTGCAGAATTTGCTGCGTTACAAGAGCATCATTCCGTTTAACGCCGGTAGTCTTAGTGGTTTAGGGCTACCAGGCTCGTAATAGTGATGTCTCAGCTTCGAGGGTTTGACCCTCTGTGTCCGATGGTGTGTCCTTGGGAAAGGCACTTTACACAAATTTTCCTCACCTCACCCAGATGTGAATGGGTACCCGGCCATAGACGGTGAAGTATCTTTTCAGAGTGTTATCAGTGTTTTAGCATATATGTAAAAGGGCAGCTTGCACTGAATGCCTTCCCGAAAAGTTGAGATTGTTTCAGAATGCTATTATGAGGTCTGCTGGGGTAATAATAAGATTGTAATTGTAAAGAGCGATATATAGAGCTTAATTGCTGCTTAGCAGGAATGTTCAAATGCTATCTATTATCATTAACATTATACAGTGGGTGTCGCATTCGACGAGGTCACATTCAACGAGAAGTCGGCTCCAACGAGGTAATCATTAATCCCCGATTAATCCTCTATATCTCTTTGTAAATATACGTCAGCTCCAACGAGGTTGCAAACATATAGAAGAAGTCGCTTTCAACGAGGTCGCGATAACCAAATAAAAGCAATTAGCGGACCCAAAAGCGAAAAAAAAATCCTTTCTCTCCATCTCAGGCGAAGCACAAGGCCCATCCTCGATTCCTAACACATTGTATTGGTAGATCTAGTGTGCCTCCCAAAGCCCAAAGCCAAGTGGGCGAGGGTTAGCCTACGGTAGGGATGGGACGGGGTGGATGGGAACGCTATGCAGGCTGTGCAAGGAGCTTAAAACAACCGTATAACCTCCTTGGGGCTGTGTGAAACTGGATGAAATCTGGATGGGTAGGTCTAGATCGAGACCTTAATTTTTTTTTCAATTTTCTTCTCTTCCCCTGATCTGAAAATCCAAGCTCCCGCCTTCACTTTATGTAGATCTAGGCCTAGATGTGAGATGGTATGTTTCCACATGAGAAGTGTTCCGGTAAAAAAAAATATATAATGCAGAAATGAAGGTCTGAAACTCGCGACACTGATGCTGTTTGAGATTTTCGTCATCAGGGTTAACAACTGTTTAATTACTGGTATTGGTACATTGTGTAAATAATGTATAATAACCAAGGAGTTTTCAGTTGTTAAGCTCCTTCATAATAATAAATAATACATGTCTCCTTTGTTTTCTTTAACCTTAGTCACGTTCAACGAGAGGTCGTACCCAGCGAGAACAACAAGCCGGTAGTGATGGGCAACCTCGTTGAATTCGACCCCCACTGTATTAAATTATTATTATTATTATTATTATTATTATTATTATTATGTTTATCCGTCATCTGGTCTTTATTGAATCTGCCATATTCTCAGGTCGGAAAACTAATAGTATTATCGCCATCCAATTTCTACTAAAGAACTTCCTTTCCCCTCTGATCTTGGGGAAGTACGGGGAATTACCGTCGTTTATTTTAAGCTATGACCTCAATTCTGAGAAGAGGGGTAATGATTTCAGAGGGAGGTATGGTTCTATTTATAACCTCCTTTCTTGGTAGAGCCCGAGAAGGCCAAAACATCGTGACTCGGGACCAAAGATTCTCTAGGCTACTTACTGTACACTACTTGTCACTACAGTTTGCACATCTAAAGGTAAGACTGGAGGACACCGGTTCAACAAAATTATCTTATTTTGATTTTGTCTTGTACTTGTACAAGTAGAAAGATCACTTTTGATTTCTAGATTTAGATCCAAGGAACAAAATAAACGAGCTTCTCAAGACCACAGCGGCTGCCAAGTTACCATATTATTATTATGGCATATAATATAAAGAGTAAGCTAGATCTAGATCTAGAGGGAAAGAGAAGGTTAGTACAGTCGTCGTAAATGAATTTTCAGTGTTGAGGCACGGTATGTATTTTGAGTCTCGACCCGAAATTTGTAGACCCATGCTAGATCTTCATCATATTTGATCTAATCTAGATCTAGATCTAGATTAGTATCTAGATCTAGATCTAGATCTAGATCTACATATATTTTTAAACCAATAATTTAAATTTTAATCACTAGATCTAGTATCTAGATCTAGATCTACATATATTTTTAAACCAATAATTTAAATTTTAATCACACAGCTGCGACAGTTTTTATTCTCCGTTCTCCGCGATATCAGACCTTGCGATAATGAAAATGAAACTCATGCAGAGATCTAGATCTAGATATCTAGGTCTAGTCGATGGAGATTGATTCAGTTTCCTTTTTTTTAAATTTCAATTGTTACACTGTGTCTTTATTTCTGTATACTCGACTGCATTAGATTTAGATATATACTTGTATATGTAACTTCCTATATAGATCTAGCATATATTAAGCGTAAGACAAGCGCAAAATGTTTTTAGTGGAAAAATGTTCTTGAGTTTATTTCTGGTTCACCCCATCTTGTTCCCTGAACAGACAGAAAACAAAATCACCTGTGCAAGAGTCAATTTTTAGTGTACCTGTTTGAGACATTGATCTAGATTCTAAATAGGATTAATATTTTTTACGCATTTCAGTGATAGTCGAGAAGAGACTAGGCCCTAGACTCTTCAAAGTTCTGTCAGTGTAATTTTGTCAACTATTGAAATGTAGGTATTTATCTTTGTTGAGGTATCAAGAAATAACTGATAATTAACAACAATTAACAACTGATAACAATTTAATAAATTATAACAACTCTGATAACAACAACAAATAACAACTCTGATAACTACAAATGACAACACAAACGTCTTTAGTTGCATATCTTGTCTCTTCATATCTTTTTTGTCACGCAACGTGCATGACATGACATTTGAGTCCTGTTGTATGTAATCATGTGTCATCTTTGTGTGACAGTTTTGTGTGACAATGAAAATAATAATATCATTATCAGAAAGTTGTATTAGATTGATCACCTTGTGTGAGCATGTTTGTGTTGATATTTGTCGTTATTTTGTTGTTATCAGTTGTTGTCAGTTGTTGTATCAATGTAGAATACCTTAAAAACCAAGTAAAAGCAACTAGTTTTAAAAGTTTGTGTTGATACTTGCCGTTATTTGTTGTTATCAATTGTTATCAGTTGTGATCAGTTGTTATTTGTTGTTATCAGTTGTTATTTATGGTTATCTCGACAAAGATAAATACCGTTGAAATGTCTATTGGAAGTGCACTTTTTACATGTAGTGTTTCAGAAAATGTAAGCCTATCGGGGTTTTTTCCGCAAAAGACCCGAAGTTTTACATATTATGATGATTAGATCTATAAAAGTGTTACGATCCGTTGATTTATGACATTCTTTGTGGTGAAAAGTTGAAACTGACTCAAACATAAGAATCTGATC